AATGAATCTTCGGCTAGAACATGGAAACATACACTACCTGGTTGAATATGGCCGATGGCGTCATGCTACTTCCAGCGATAGGATGAGCAAAATCGAATGAATCTTCCCCTAGAACATGGAAATATTCACTACCTGGTTGAACATGGCCGACAACTTCTACGACGCGGCGCAAAAAAACAACCCCCCCCGACGCGTCGCGAAAAAGAACGGTAGCGAAAAAAGAGGCCGTTCATAAAATCGCGCCGACACCAACCGCCGTCGCAAAAAACAGAAAACCCCGCTGGGCCCACGAAGCCGCGCCAACACCAACCCAAAAAAAAAAAACGGCCCTTAACAAAAAACCGCGCCGGGCCCAAGGTGCACCGGGTCCACGCGGGAAAGGTCTCAGCGGGACGCGTCACGCGAGACCCGCGTTTTCCTTTATATATGTATAGAAATGAAATTCTTGACTCATATCTATAGGTTCGGAAATCGCATGTTTCTCTGAATAAGTGTATCATACCTTTTCACTAAATCGGTAAAACCACCTCTGTGTCCAAGCTTCTCTTTTTTTTTCCCCCCGCTGACTTAGATTGCTGCTGTGCACCAAAAAGAAAAGGCAAGGGCAAGTTTTGTTTCTTTCTGGCTGGCGCTGCCAGCCATTTTGGTCCGCAGGCTGATCCCCTGTCAGTGTGGTGAGTAAACCACTGTGTCGGAACAAAATAGCTGGGAGACGTACTGGTGTTTAAAGGCGGAGCCCTTTTTCATAATGGATGGACCTATAAATTCAGATTCATTCACTTGAGGGATAGTCCTTTTGTAACGAGTGACCCTTAAACCACCACTACCTCCGAGCCCCTTTTTGCGGAGGCGGAGTCCAATTCTATGTATTTTTTTGTCAACGAGTTTGGGAACAGCCATTACTGTTCGATACCTAGATATCTAGATATGGTTCCGTGGGCTGAAGCGCCAGCACGGCGTTTTTTGTTTTCTTTTGGCTGGCACCGCCAGCTTTTGTGGTCGGGTAGCACCCAGCATCCGCCGGCCTTCAAAGAATACGGTATATAGGTTATACCCTCGACTTAGCTTCCCAGCCTGAGAGGTAAAGGTGGTTTAAAAGGACAAAAAAAACATAGTCTGTTGATATACGATGCAGGTCAGGATGGTTGAAAAGAAGAAAAAATACACACCACACATTATATACCACAATAGTATTACGAATCTGAATTCTACTGTCTCAAAAAAATCATCCCGAAGGGTCCGCATGCAGGGGCTTTCGTTGGTTGGTACAAAAATGAGATTTCAAAGTCAAGTCTCTGAAATGACATTGAAGTTTGGAGGTACTGTCTCTAGCCATGGGTGACTATCACTGGTTTAACTTCCTTTTTTTTTTTTTAAGAAAAAAGTTGTTCTCAATTTATGCGTGTCATCCTTGTGCAGGGGCCATTTGCTAATTTACCCTTCTCTGTATCGTTCCAATTTTAACGGATGCCCTGAAGGACATCACTGGTTTTAACCAGGGCTGGGCCAGCAACCGGCCGGATCACCTGCCCCGGTCCAACCAGGGCCGGACCGGTCCAGGGGGGGTGAACCGGCAAGGGGTTTTATGGCGCAGGGTGCATTTCATGGGTGTGCAGGCCTGTAAGCAGCAGCATGAGGTGGAAGAATTCAAATAAGAAAAGGGTAAAGAAGAAGAAGAAGAAGAAGAAGAAGAAGAAAGATAAAAACAGATAAAGGGCAGACAATTTAAGAGCAGCGGTTCAACACCCGATTCAAAGTTTCTTCAAGTCAAACATCTGCAGCAGTTCCAGATCTCTCTCTCTCTCTCTCTCTCTCTCTCTCTCTCTCTCTCTCTCTCTCTCTCTCTCTCTCTCTCTCNGTTCCAGATCTCTCTCTCTCTCTCTCTCTCTCTCTCTCTCTCTCTCTCTCTCTCTCTCTCTCTCTCTCTCTCTCTCTCTCACATTCGGAATCCCTTTCACTCATCTTGTCGTCGGGCGAGTACGCATTGCCCTCATCCGAGTCAGGGTCCTCCTCCACTCGCAATTTGCGGGCCCTGCCGGGATACTTTTTTTTTTTTTTTTTTGCAGCATCATCCCCCGACTTAGCCTTGCGGGGCCTCCCACGACCACGGCGCGACTTTTCGGGGTGTTCGTCGACCGGAGCTTTCCTCTTTCGCCCTGCCCTGCTTTTCCAAAGGTTGTCATGCTGCACAACCTCATTCTGTGCAGGGAAGGGGGGTCTGTCGGTGTGGTGTGCCGCTGCAGGCACTAGTGTTTGGACTTCCTGTTGTTCCGACTGTTTCTCTGGCGGTGCAGGCTGTTGCGGTGCATGTGCCTGGGGTCTTCGTGCATACACCATGGCTGGCAGTTGCTGCGGCTCCTCTCCTTGTCGCTGCATATTCTCTTCGGCATGTTCCAGCAGCTCGACTCCCTCCTGCTGCTGATTTTTTTCCCCTTGGTGTTGCTGGGGCTGCTCTCCGTGGGGCGCCTCTCCCTCTTGCTGCATATTTTCATTTTCTTGCGGCTGATCTTTTTCTTCCTGATGCTCCTCCGACTCGCTGATCTGTTTGCTTTGTCTCTCTCTCTCCCTCCTGGTGGGGATAGCAGCACACCGAGCCTCCTCCTCAAGCATCCGCATATGAACAAGGGTAGCATCTCTATTCGCCATAGCCTTTGTTCGATCTGCTTCGTCCTCGTCTGCATCACGGTCACCATCAGGGATACGGTGCATCAAGAACTTGATGTCCGTGTCAACTCTCTCGACGGGTTCTGAAGGCTGCACCTCTGCCTCCTCTCGCCTCCCGCGCATCCGACCGATGTTAGCAGTGGCTGGCACCGCTGGCACAGCCCCCAACTCGAAGTCGGAGTCCTCACCAATATCATCCTCGCCACTGCTCTCTTTCGAAGTAGACTCATTCCAACATTTCCCCTTCCATATCAGATCCTCAAGCTCGCTGCTCCCGCTTGAGTCTTCATCCAASAGGTCRYGGRGAATCCGTCCTTTCGGAGCCTTCTWCRGCCTYTTTTGCCTCTTTTCCTCCTCCCCTTCGTCCACCGTCTTCTCCGTTGTGCCATCGTCGAGAGATTGGTCCTCCTCTGTCGGCTCCATCAATGGCTCGAAGAAGGACCCCGATACATCCACGTAGCTATAGTCCTTGCTCGTTCGAACACGAAGCAACTGCATGTTCCAATGAATGTACACAAGTTTCTCCAAGGACGCCGGTGAGAGGCTGTTCCTCCTCTTTGAGTGGACAAAGTCCATCGATGCCCAGTTCCGCTTCGCAGATGTTGCTGTGCTCCACATTCCCAGCACTCTGATGGCGATCGCCTGCAAATCCGGAACATCTCCACCATGCAACGACCACCAATCCGCCGGAGCACGTTCTGTGGCTGCCGTTCTAGCAAGAGGGGTCCACATATGCTTATCTTTCTTGACTTCACCTTCCACAGGCTTTCTCAAGAACTCATACAGATACCCCCACATGTCAATGTGTTTCAGTGAATGCCACGTCCCCCAATCTGCCTCAGCAAGAAATGCATTGCGTTTTGCACGAGTGCACTGTTTGGATCGTTGAGCCAGCCAGGCTGTCTCCTTCGTGGATCCAAAAGAAAGGCAGCTGCATGTGCCGGCTGCCGCATCATCTGCACGCGGTCCTTCACCTTCGCCATCACGTCTTCGCGCTCCTTCTTCGTGAGTACGACATTTGTCAATCTCCTTGCAATGAGATCGTCGTACTCCACAAGTTGGTGGGAGACTCTCCTTCCTTGTCCATTCTCTTGAGCAGGCTGAACACCGGCTCCATGATGGCCACAATTTTTTTCACCTTATCCCACCAAGTCTCACACCTCAACGAGTAATAGACGAGGTCGGCCTTCTTTTGCAGCTTTGCTGAGGACCACCTCAGTGCCCTCCATCTCGCACCATAATTCCCATCCACCATATCGTTCAGCACGTGCTCCCTGTTCACCAACCTACCCAACATCTGATACACAGACCCGAACCGGACCTCTGTTGGGCGCAACAATGACAAGGAGTCGTCGATAGTCATCATGAGGCCGTGCGTAGAGTGGTGGTTCCTTATGAATTTGACAATCGTGTTTGCCTTCTTCACCGTGTCCTTCACCCATGGCAAATTGCTCAAGTCCTTCAGCAACAAACTGCAACAGTGCGCTCCACATGGCACCCACGGTATCTTCGCGACATCTTTGTCGGTCCGCCTCTCTGAGATCTGAGCCGCCTTCTTGTTGACGTCTGCATTGTCTGTACATATCCCGTTGATCCGGTGAAGCCCTATCTCACGCATCACCTGCTCCCACAACTTTGCCAATGCTGCTGCGTTCTTCTTCTTCCCCGTCATGAACACTGTCGTGACCAGAACTGCTCCTTTCTCCCCCGCTGCAAGGAAATTCATCACCGGCCGGTTCTTGCGATCTGTGGACCCGTCGGTGATGAATGTGCAGCCGGTTGTGTCCCAACATGCAGTCATGGGGTTGATTGCTTTCTGCACCTTCAGGTAGATGTAATCAACCATGACAGTCCGCATGTGTTTGTAGGAAGGCAACTTGACCTTTGGCCTTGCACTTGCAACCTTCAGGTATGTTTCGTGCAGAGCTTGCGTGGTGTCGAAGCTTAGGAAGTTGAAAGGAATGCCAGCCCTGAACATTGCCTCCGCCCAGGCAATGTCCAACTCCTTCTGAGCTTGATTGTCGATCCACGTCTTGATTGTGGTCTGCTTGGCCACGACAAGCTTGACAGTGACCTGCGCTTCGCCAGGGACCTCATCACCCTCCTCCCCATCCTCACCGTCCGTGGCAGGAGTATGAGCAGCCAGCCGTGGAGCAGACCTCCCCAGTAGAGGTGGTGGCACTGCCTCAGACAAAGGATCCTCAGCATCAGGTCCACTCTGCACATGCTCCTCACCCCCCTCTGCACACCTGGCTAGTCCCCTGGCATTCTTCAACAAGTAACGAGTGTTCTTTGTCGGTGGACTTCACCTTGCCATGCTGGTTGCTGACAAGCTCATCGACGATCTCCCCTGTCCGAAAAGTACACGGTTTCTGCGGTTTCAGGAAATGATGAACCGCCTTCGTCGACGAGCCCCTGAAGATGGTGGAGCATAGGCGGCACCTGAGCCAGTACTCCCCACGGCCTGCCGGCAATGCCTCTTGTCCCTGTTCAACACACTGCCACACTGAACTCCTCTTCAGCAGCTTCTCATGTGCCTTGTCGCCCTGGGGTTGAAAGAGAGCAGGGTCAGTGCCTGGTGTTGCATCCTTGTTGACGGCCGTCGTGGTGGACTGCGCCGTCTTGCTTGAGGAAGGCCTGTCAGTATCATCTAACACATGGCCTTTCCCTTTGTCTGCACCAGCGGTGCCCAGCCTGCGTCTCGATGGTTCAGCCCCACCACTGCCATCATCTGCCATGCTGTCGCCCGCGGTATGTGGGAAAGAAAAAAAAAAAGTGTGGAAGGTTGTGGCTTTGGGACGCCTTAAGTTTGGCTATGGGGGGTGAAGAAGAAGAAGAAGAAGAAGAAGACGAAGAAGAAGAAGAAGAAGAAGAAGTAGAAGAAGAGGAGGAGGAGGTGAAGAAGAAGGAGAATCTGATACGGAAGAAAGAAAAAAAATGGCTATGGCTATGGCTCTGGCTCAACGGGGAGGGAAGCAGAGGAGGAGGAGGAGGAGGTGGAGGAGAAGAAGAAGAAGAAGAAGAAGAAGAAGAAGAAGAAGAAGAAGAAGAAGAATCTGATACGAAAAAAATAAAAAAAAATAAAAATTGCTATGGCTATGGCTGTGGCTCAACGGGGAGGGAGGCAGAGGTGGAGGAGGAGGAGGAGGAGAAGAAGAAGAAGAGGAGGAGGAGAAGAAGAAGAAGAAGAAGAAGAAGAAGAAGAAGAAGAAGAAGAGGAGGAGGAGGAGAAGTAGAAGAAGGAGAATCTGATACGAAAAAAATAAAAAAATAAAAAATCGCTATGGCTATGGCTGTGGCTCAACGGGGAGGGAAGCATAGGTGGAGGAGGAGGAGGAGGAGGAGGAGGAGAAGAAGAAGAAGAAGCAGAGGAGGAGGAGGAGGAGGAGGAGGAGAAGAAGAAGAAGAAGAAGAAGAAGAAGAAGAAGAAGAAGAAGAAGAAGAAACGGAGGAGGAGGAGGAGAAGAAGGAGAATC